CAAGCCGGTGGCAAGGCTTGGCCGTGTTGAAGCCAAGGGCAAAAGCAGAGCCATCCAAGCTCCGTTTCGGACGCCGTGACTTGTTTGCTGCTCATCAACCTCGCACAGGTCCACCTCTGGATCATCTGGACACATGGCCGCAACCGAACCGACCAAGCATGCACAGACGGCAAGTCGGGACCACATGGCGACAGGCGAAGAGTTCGTGCGGGGCACCAGCTCTGCTTGACTCACAGAATGCTGCAGTGCCCAGGTGCATGTGCATGTGTGGATCACAGCAGACTTGCTACTTCTGCGACAAGTGTTCGCTTCCGAAGGCACGAACCTGATGGCTCAAACGATATTGCATTGCAGGATTCGATACTTGGGATGGAGAAGATCCAGTACTAGGAGTGGGCAGTTTCGACGGCTCACTTTGCAGCAACCTGTGCTGATTGTTGCTCTTTCGGTGCAAGGGTCTGCTGCACACGGTTGAATGGCGGGCATCGGTGGCCTTCACCACGTTTGCCCCATGACCTGGTGTCTGGCTTGAAACACGGGCTTCGCGTGTCACTGCTTGGCCTGCCGCGCAGGCCGTCTGGTCACGAGGGGTCTGAGGTTCGGCATTCGCTTGACACCCTGATTCGCGAATGATTCCGTTGCGGAAGCGGGCTTCTGCAAAGAGCCACCGAGAGGCTAACAGAGGCACCGCCTAGAGTTTCTTTTGCGGCAGCACCAGAATGCGCCAGCGTGATCACAACTGCTACTGGAGGACTGGCACGGACCCAAGGACCATTACCCAAGTCCAGTCGTGATGCGTCGCAGCCGGTGATGCTCTGTAGTTGCCGAGCCGGCTTGCGACAGCAGATAACATGTTGTAAAACAATTCTGAAGTCCACCTCCAGACTCCAGCTGTGTCTTACACAGCTGAATTACCAACCCCTTCGGGGTTGACACTCTTCCTGGAGGGTCCTAGCTTGTGCTCCCGGCACTCTCTTGCAAGCGACAAAAACTGCAAGAGAAATCCAAGAACTACGGCAGCACTGAGTACCTAGGGCCTAGGAATGCCTAGGGATCACTGCTGCGGAGAAACGGTCGAAACGACTATTCAAAAAGAGCATTCAAGCCTTCCCTCATCTACGCCAAGGGTTTGACGAACTCGGACTTCACCACGTACTGGGAGGCGACCAGCTTGCGAGAGCCGTGCGGGTAAAGGTCAGCGTACATCCCATAAGTCTCACTCATCTGCTTGCACAGATTGTCAAAGGACTCCGGCGAGACCTGACGTCTTGTTGCCGATAACTTCCCTCTTNNCCTCACCTGATGGCAATCCTTGTCCACATGCCAGGTGATGGAGTACGGAGAGCACACCTCGTTGTCGTGGCTCTGACCGGTAGTGCTCCCGGGGTACATGACAGAGTTGTCGTGGCCAACCACAGTCCAGCCATGCAGCATGTCATCGACTGTTGCGGCACCATTCACGATCTGGAAGATCTGCCCTTGCACTACGATCATGGGGTTGAGGAGGCCGCGGCCGTTGGCAGCACCTGCACGCAGCGTACGGAAAACCGCAAAACCGTAGGCAAGCAAGCTGCCGCCACTGCTAGTCACAGCAGATACTGACATCGGCATTCCCAGCCCACCTCCCAGGCCATCTGCCAGCAAGTCCGCGTTGACGTCATCCTGCACAGATTCCAGTCTTGAGCAAACGGCAACACTAAAACACACCTTGCCGCCAAGCAACCGTGGCGTTGTTGTCCATGCCCGCAGACGAGTGCACGTAGTGGATCTCGTAGGACTTGCCGACTTGCACGTCGCCCTTGCCTTACGTCTCCACATGCCAAGACAAGGGGAAAACGACATGTGCGATCCCGGAAAGCAGGTCAAAAGCTTACAGAAAATGTGGCGGCAAAGTTGCAGTACGTGAAGTTGTAGGGGGCCAGCTGATTGGTGTTCAGAGAGCTCTTGCTGCACATGAAGCCAGGCCGAGGGTTTTCGGCAAGTCGTCGGCCCGACGAGGCCGCATCGTAGGCAATCGAGTCCGTGTCGTCACTGTAGGCCTCGCGCACACATACATACTACCCGGCGCGGCCCGCAGTGCCCCATGCTGCCCTGGAAAAACACCTACGAAAGCTAGGACCGCCTCGATGACGAGCACCAAACTCATGAGAAAGTTCGGGAGAAGAAGACTTAGGACTACAGGGCCCTGCCTCAGTCTTGTGCTCTGCGCCCAGGTGGAAGTGCACGTTCACCAGGGGCAGGAAGTTCGCCTGATCATCGGTCAGGGTCGCTGCCTTCGGTGTCATTTGGCCGACGGCGCCGGCCGTCAGGTCGCGAGGCGTCTGAGGTTCGGCAGTGGAGCAAGCAGGCTTGGCGAAGGAGTACGGGCAGGCAGCGGTTCCGGGCAC